AATACCGTTGGCGCTACAGAACATTCCGGAACACGATGCGTTCAAACATATTACTCCAATGAGCCCAGGGTACTGAAACCCAACACCAATCAAAGAAGAACCTACGGACGAAGATTGGGTGAATCTGGTAGATTTACCCCTGTCGAAAACCCAACACCCGAAAAGGAACACGCAAACCTGTCATGGACAGGATGTTACAACGATGAGTGTCTAGTGCACAGAAGCAAGAAGGAAGGATCGGGATATTGGCCTCGGGAAACGAACAGATGGCCACTCAAGACTTCACCTCTGGGATCACCCACGAGATCCCCGACACCAGAGTCAGTGGCTCTGGTACAATACATCAAACCGACTCCGAGGACAGAGTCGAAGAGGAGAGGGGCGAAAAAACAGAAATGGGTAAAACCCAGGAAGGCGAGGCACGTCTCCTGGGAGGAAGAGATGGAAGAGGAGAAACCAGAGACAACAATAATGAAATTGTTGGCGGAGGAGGAGGAGACAAAAAAGTTGTTGGAATGGCAAGCGGAGAAAGTAGGACATCTCCAGAGCGAGTTGAGGGAGGAGACAAGGATAAGGAGGGCTCTCCAGAACGACTAGAGAAGGGAAGAGAAGGAGGCGGAGAGGGCCCTGACGAGAGTAAGGAAAGTCAGCACTTGGTTAAACAAGGAAGCCAAGTGGGAATTACCGGCTAGGGCATGAGAATTGGAGGATAGACTGTTGTAAGCCCGATAGGACTCGGGCTGAGGGAGAGGGGAGCTAATGTTACAAACTGTGACTAAGCAAGGCAGATTTTACATAGCTCAGATTTCTGAGCTACTATATAAAGGGTCACTAGGACCCCTAGTATTAGCTCTTCACACGTTCTTCTTGTTTATTTCCTACCTTTAAGTTTTATCAATAAAACATACTTTTACGCTCTTTAAGATTCATCTTGAGAAACCTAAGAATTGTCTTTCCTCCCACGCGAGAAAACTATTTCTCCTCCCACGTCGAACCACGAAGTCTAAAGCAAGCACTTGAGAAGAATAGAGGAATAGGCGGAATAGTATAGAAGTCAAAGGACTTGACTATCAACGTCGCGTAGGCACAGGCCTAGAACTATTAGCTCACCCCAAGTTAAGGATCGTTACCTGTCGCATCACTTACCCGTTGGGCAGGATTCTTAACAATATATGAGACTCTAAGGTTAAGTGATAGACTAGGTAGGCATGCTAGAGCATGTCTAAGAAGATATCTGCTGGTTAAGGTATCTCTACGAGTATAAGGTACTTAAGGAATAGGTCTATTATACTGGTTTAACTGAGTTGAATATTTTCAATATATAAGTTTAGAAAATTTAGCTAAGCCACTGATTTGTCATAACAATAAAAAGAGTGCTAGAATTTAGGTTTACTTAATTTAAACCTATTATTCAGTATTTTGTTTTGATTATAGGTCTAAACTCTGAAAAATGAGAAACTATTGCCAAACACCATTATTTCTAAAAAATGCCATTTTTTTAAAACAGCTTTAAAGCCATTTTCATGAAAAATGGCATTTCTTTTTATGGTCGCGGGCCAAACAGGGCCTAAGTCAGTAACAATATAGCTACGAGTAACCCCCACCAAATCTTGAGCAATCCGTTGGACATCCAACACACGCCGCGGCGACTCACAGGCATTTTGCTCTAATTAGCTATAAATTTCCGGGCTGCAGTAGTACGGTATTGGTAGCTCTTCAACCACAACACGAGGCATCTATTTCGGTACGGTATATGGGCACAACACCCGCATACCGGCGCTCCCATCTCGCTATCCAACAGTTCTCTCATTCATTCATCCATCCATTCATATTCTTCCGTAACTCACAGCCGACCCCTCATAACGCCCGCGGACCACCCGCTTGTTTAATCCAATCCAATTCAATTCACATCCGCCCATGTCCATTAATTCTTAATCCACTTGTAGCCAAGCCCATTCCAGAGTGTCCAAAATTTCTCACACCCTTCACAATGCCGTTTCCCATCCCACCGCCGCCGAGCCAGATTCTCGTAGAAGGGTTAGAAGGGTCAATTAGCTAGCAGAACCGGAGGATGCAAGTGCTCTACCAGGAAGAAAAAGATAAAGCAAAGAGGAAGAAGGTAGTTTACAAACAACGCGTTGGGATGTACGATAAGAAGAAACAGACGGAGAAAGCCAGCAATGAAAGTCTTTCATTTTTCTGTGGCGAATCCGAGGAGATAAAGGTGAGAGAAAAGTGCGGAGCGGGTGGTGTAAACAATAAAAGGGGGAAGCGGAATATTTTGAGGGAGTAATTGATGCGATGTAATGTAGAAGGATGAAAGGGCAGAACAAAAAAAAAGGGGGGGGGGGTAATTAATGTGCTCAGCATCGAGCAAAAGTGGTAACGGAAAGAAAAAGGTATAAATTCTGTATTCGTCATCAGATTACCGAGAGAACTTTTGCTCATCCCGATCGATCAGATCCTTTGCTGCTAAGACTTCGGCTTCGTCAAAGCCCGTCCAGCCCTTCTCATTTCTCCTGAACTTGTTCACAATTTGAAGAAGCTTTTCAGTCGCCATCTGGTTCAGGGACTCCGTCTTTCCCAGTTTTCCATCCGAGGGCTTCGCCTGTATGAGTTTCCCCGTAACGAGCTTCAACCCGTACCATCCTCTGAGATACCATTCGCTCAGTTCCACCGATCGAGCAAAGTACTTGATAGCCTCCTCGAATGCCTCAGTCTGATTGGCGCTGCCGACACCAGCAGAAGCGGAAATGTATGTCACCTCGCCAATGCGAGCAAAGATATTGTAGGCATTGGGCAAGATTAGAAGAACTTCTTCTAGGCAGAAGACGGATTGCTGGTAAAGTCCCTGGGTAAAATAGAGCGATGAGAGGTGTGCCCAGGACTCGGGGTCATTGGGGGAATGGGAGAGCAGACTAGTCAAGGCTTTGATGGCATCTTCTGTGCGACCGAGCGATAGCAAAAGTGATATACGGCGCTTTTCTATCGGCTATGTTTTTTTTTTGACACCATCAGATTATGAACTCGCCTAGTAGTGCAGATGTCGGGGATGACCGGACGAAAATGAAATAGGAAAAGGAGGGAAGTTTTACCATGTTCGTGGGGTCCTCCTTCAATATGTCCTGATATCGTTGCAGAACTGATTCGAGTTCGCCGGGACTGTTGGAGGTAGCTTCATCGTAGAGACCTGTGAGCGCTTTCACGCGCGCAGAATCAACGCCAAAGCGGTCTGATAGGCGTTGCAGACACAGGCGAGCAGAGTTGTCGTCACCAGTACGGAGGCAGGAGAGAAGGAGCTGCTCGTAGATCAACCATGTTTCCTGTGTGTCTTTTGTGGATTCTGATGATGATAGGAAAGCGGGTGCCTGTTGGGATAGGTGGAGAGAGGTGGACGGATTTCGAAGCGGGGATGGGTGGATTGACAGGTAGGATAGGAGAAGCTTGAGGATGGCCATAATTGTGAAAGTGTCCTAGGCGGGGATTGTGGTGAAGATTAAGGTGGCCTTTGGACCTGGAGGATTTTGTTTCGGTTGGTTGTGGCTGTTGGAGGAAGAGAGTGGCGGGAAGGGGAGAAAATAGGAAGAGGGATAGACAAAGATCAATAATGGTACCGGTAAAGCAGTAACGACGAACAGATCGGCTAGATATCCCGCAGGGAAAGCTGGGTTCTCGTTGATAGCTTTCGAGGGAGTTGAACCTAACCTTCCAACATGCCAAGTTTTCAATCAAGGAAAGAGCAAATGGTTTTAGCACGAGTATGGATGACTAAGCTAGTTTGTTGTGCAACAGCCCTGTTACCCGTGATTTTGAGCCCCGCCAATTCTTATCTGGGAGTTGGTCTCGCCCTTTGGGGATTATCCTCTCGATCCTGCTGTCGATTATATCTCCCTCTCCCCCTCCCTCTCCCTCCCCCTCCCTCCCATATCTCCAACCTTCTCCCCCCTCCTTCACCATGTATGTTTGTCCAACTGTTTTAGGCTTGTGTTGATTCTGCTTCCGGATGAAAGATGACAAGCTAACCTCAGAGCTCTCATAGGTTCGAAAAATCGCTTTACGACCTAATTCGCGGCCTACGATCTCACAAGGGGAATGAACGAGCTTATATGCTGGAATGTCTAAAGGAATGTCGGAATGAAGTTCGATCCCAGGATCTCGGTGCGCCATCCCGCCCCGGACCGGGTGTTTGTGGGGCTTATCACAACTGACATAACTTGCGAGATTTTTTTGGTTAGATATCAAGGCTGCGGCTATTTTGAAACTTATTTACCTCGAAATGTTTGGCCATGATATGTCCTGGGCTTCCTTTCACGTACTAGAGGTTATGAGTTCTCCAAAGTTCATGCAAAAGCGTGTGGGGTATCTTGCGGCAACCCAGAGCTTCACAATTGAGACTGATGTGTTGATGCTTACTACAAACTTAATCAAGAAGGTCTGTTTAGATCCCCTAATCTGTCCCCGTTATACTCATTATAGTTACAACAGGATCTTTCTTCCTCGTACCCTCCTGAAACAGCTCTTGCAATAAATGGCACCTCGCATATTGCATCGCCTTCTCTCGCTCGTGACCTTTCCCCAGATCTGCTGTCGAAACTTTCACATACATCCCCCTATGTTCGGAAAAAAGCAGTACTAGTGCTATACAAATGCTTTCTACAATCTCCGGAACTCCTCCGGACATCCTGGCCACGTTTACGGGAATGTCTCAACGATGAAGATGGAAGTGTTGTCTCGGCGACGGTCAATGTTGTGTGCGAGCTTGCTCGTAGAAATCCGAGTAACTACTTGCCGTTAGCGCCGCAACTCTTTAGATTACTCACGGATCGTGAGAACAATTGGATGAGGATCAAATTGATCAAGCTGGCATGTTGAATGCGTTCCATAGCCTTGTTTGCATGCTAATTTCTCCAAACTAGTTTGCTACTCTTACCCCGCTGGAATCTCGATTAATAAAGAAACTAATACCACCAATAACGAACCTCATCAGGACCACACCTGCCATGTCGCTTTTGTACGAATGTATAAACGGGCTAATATCCGGGGGTCTCCTAGCGGGAATTCGGGAAACCGATGAGGGGGAAGAACTTGCTTCCGTTTGCGTCACCAAGCTCCGGGGATTCCTCGTGGAGGGTGATAGCAACCTAAAGTACGTAGGGCTGCTGGCTCTGACGAAGCTTGTTGCAACCCATGCACACCTCGTCTCGGCACACCAAGATGTGATCCTGGACTGCATCGACGATGCGGATATTAGTATACGGTATAGAGCGTTGGAGTTAGTTGTCGGGATGGTCGACCCTGATAGTTTACCAGATGTTGTAGGACGTCTTATCCGCCAATTAAAGCCAAACACCAATCGTGCCGAAGAGCAACCCGCTGAGCCAGAAGCCACTGGTGACGAAAGCGAAGACGAGGACATGGAGGAAGAAGTCATGCACCCACGTAGAACCCGTGGGGAGGCTGTGCCGTTTGAGTTACCCGAAGGGTATAAGCGAGCTGTCATAACTAGCGTCGTGGAAATGTGTTCCCGGGATATGTATGCGAATGTAGGGGATTTTGAGTGGTATTTGGATGTGTTAATCCAGTTAATAAGATATGCACCCCCGGCTTCCACATCTTCTATGGGGGATGAGGGCGACGAACTGGAGGAGGAGGGCCAGGGCGAGAGTGATAGACAAGATGTGGGCGAGGCCATTGGAAAAGAGCTCCGGAACGTTGCGGTGCGGGTACGGAGCGTCCGAAGGGAAGCTGTCCGATATGCTGGGATGCTTGTTGGAAAACGGGAGGGGATGTTTCCTGTTGCTGGGGGTGGTGGCCGGTGGGTGCTCGGGGCAGCTGGTTGGATCGTAGGGGAATACGCCAGGTAAATCAACATGCTTAACCTTTCGCGCTGAAGGATTACAGCTAAGAATCTGACCCTAGTCTACTTACCGAGCCCAATGAAACCCTATCAGCCCTCCTACACTCTTCGTCGTTATTGCTACCGGCAGAAATATTAGCTATCTACATTCAAGCAGTTCCAAAGATATATGCTATTCTTGCTGGGGCGGAAAACGTTCCATGGACGCCGCCTTGGAAATCCGCAGTCGCATTACTGACAAGCAAGATCATCAAATTCTTGGAGCCCCTCGCCATATCTCCTAATCTTGAAGTTCAGGAGAGAGCTGTCGAGTTCCTTGAACTTTTTAGACTAGCCAGGGAAGCGGTAGCCGAGCAACCAGCGACGGCCGAAGACGCAGACGAACAGTACGATGCTCCATTACTCATCACCCAAGCTATCCCAGGAATGTTTCTCGGCCTTGAACTAAACCCTGTCGCCCCCCGAGCTCAACGGAAAGTGCCCTTACCAGCAGGTCTGGACCTTGACGAGCCAATCAACCCATGCCTCTATAAGCTACTCCTGGAGTCTGAACAAGACAGCCGTTTCTCTGGTGAAGACGAAGACGATGGCTTCCGGGAATGGTATTACCAGAAGGCAATCCCAAAACAAGCCAACGTCCCCGCATCCCTGGGAATCGCGCCAAAGAATCTATCTGCTGTTGCAAGCTACCAAAGCGGTGACATGAGAGAAGAGGACTATTTAGACAAGGACATCCTCGAGCGCCGCAAACGGGAACGCCGGGAACGCAACAGAGACGACCCGTTCTACATCGGTGGCGCTGTGGTATCCGGCGGGGAGGAGGTCGACCTCGATAACATACCAGTTATGAAACTCGACCTTGGGGATGTGGACATCCCTGCCGTACCACAGCCGCAGCCCCGTATCTCCCAATCAAAAAAAAAGAAGAAAGAGAAAGTAGTAATAGCAACAGACGAAGGAATCGGAAACGAAGGTGACGAATCCTCGACAGAACAAACAGTAGAAAAATCAAAACGGAGACCACGAAAAGGATTGCTTCAGGTGGATAGCAGTGGATTAATGGGATACTCTCTAGATGAACCATCTGACTCTGCGGCTGGGGAAGATGTTAAAGCTGCAAGGAGAGAAGTGGAAAGATTTAGAGCGGAAATGGAGCGCGCGGCGGAGAAGGTTAAGGCTAGGGCCAGCATTGAAGAACAGAAAGAGAAAAAGAAAAAGAAAAAGAAGGGGGAGAGGGGAGATGGGGAGAGAAAGAAGAAGAAGGCGGGGGACGCGGGAGAGGGTGTGGGGGGTCAAGCCAAAAAGAAGTTCAAGAAGGATAAGGAAGACCAAAAGGAGGCTGCTGGTGCATAGCTTGACTTGACGGAACGTTTTTCTTGCCAAGGGTTGATTGGCGCTCCCCTCCTCTTTCCTCAGGACGGGATTTGCAGCGGATGTTTTCGTTGATGTATACATAGTTAGATTGCATAGATGGCTTTAAAGCCGCAGGGGAAGGGCATGCTCAGTTTCCATACTCTTTAGCTTCTACAGTGCCAGTTGAAGTTGATCATATCTTGGACACGAATGCAGTATGATAGTATTGCGATATCGCTTGATACGCTAAGCTATGCTAATACTACTTCCTCATAGTCCCCTACAAACTCTCGCTCAAAATCAAAATGATCGAACCTCGAGTGATCGTTCGTGACTACAGGGGTGGAAAAAAAATGGTGCAACGCGGTGTTTGATTTATGATGCACCGCCCGCCGCTTGTAGAATCCGGAACTACACCTATTTTCGATTCGGAAAGACTAGTATGAGCACTGTGCTCGAGTACGGGGGGCTCGCAATAATAGATGCAGGTACTTTCAGCTTGAAAAATGCAAAAACTAGGGGTAGATTATAATAATGAAGCTTGAATTAACCCCGCTTCCCTAGGCATATTTTACATTTCTACCTACCGGTACCGTGGGTGCCGCTCCCTTGCAACGAAAGAATTAACAAACATACCGCCTCGAGAAAGAGAAAGGAGAGAGGGAAAAACGCCCCGAGTAGCTATGCATAATGATAAGACAAAACGGAATATAAGGTGGTTAGTTCTAAGCAACTAGGCTGCTATGATATAGGATAATCCACGCGTAGATAGGATTTGCCTCCTAGTCTTTTGATAAGAACCTAGGGGTTGCTTTAGATAAATTCTAGTCCTCCTGGAGTGACCCTCCAGGACAGCTATGAGTGATAAAGCTTCGCTAAGCTATATTTCCCGCCAGTGCCATCAACAGTGCCTGCGCCGCAAGCTGTAATGACCAAAGCCCCACCTTCTTAAACCTCCTTCTCCGCGCTTGATGATCTATAGCATTTCTCGCGAACGCAGCATAGGTCTATTATCCCTGCAATTAGCCCCCGCCCCACCCCACCCCACCTCCGGCCAAGTACAAACACGTACCTCAGCAGAAATTTCTTCTACAAGGCCAGAGTCGTAAACAGTCCAACTCCCGTCGAATTCGCTAGCGCGCTTGATAACGCGACAGTTGATGGGGATATAGGTCCTTCTGGAATTTATGTATGCCACGATGGGCCGGATGAGGGCGCTGTTGACATATGTCAGGTCTTTGCTGAAGAGCGGAACCGCGGCGCGGACGTCGTTTAGCTGGATTCGGAAGTCCATTATTACGAATTTTTGGTCGGAGGAGGGGGAGGGGTTTTCCGAGGTCTTGGGTAAGTCGGAGTAGGGGGGATCACGACGATTGGAGGATGAAGGGGAGGGGGAGACGGTTGCTTCCATTCGTTGGACAATGTGCTGGACTACTTTTGTGAATTGTAGATCGTCGTCCGTTGGGAACATGATGTCTGCCACAATGTCCACGTTTCCATGCTGGATCCAGGAAAAGGGACCCTCGACTCCGCGGTTTAGGTGGTCGATTCCTAAACCGTCGATGCGTAGTCTGGAGGTCTTTTTCCAGGCCTCGGGGTTGCTTTCATTGCCGACGTTGCCGTTTAGTGACTCCGGGCTGACCACGTGGGTTTGCCGGGGGTGGATGGTGAAGAGTGAGTCATCGAAGGAGCCGGACATCATGTTTGCGCTGAGAAAGTCGTAGAAGAGCCACTGCTTTCGGAGCTGTGGGAGGTCGCAGGAGAAGATACTTACTGAGAAAGGACGGAAGCTGTCAGGCTGGTGGACTGTTACCAGCAGGTCTTCGAGTTTAAAGGAGTCGATTTCGAAGTCCCCTGGCTGGTGCTCGTGCCTGAAAACGCGGGGGTCTACATCATCCCAGACAACATGTGTCCGATCGATCACTCCTCTGACACCTTTGATTTCAACGTCCTTTAGGAGGCCCTTTCCATTCATCCATTTTGCGAAGGAGAGCGTCACGTTGACAGTGTCTATTGTTACGTCAAACTGTGTGTAATTTGTGTCTTCCTCCTCCGCATCCTCTTGGCGGTGGTGTTGGGCATCCTTAGCATTGATATCATCTGCGTGAACTGCCGCTGCGGCGGCGGCAGCAGCAGTCACTGATGAGCCCTTTTGAACATTCTTGTCTCCCTGCTTGCCGTGACCAGGCCTCCTAGCGACAAACACGTTCTTGAACGAAATGCACCCATCCTTCCACCTGGGCACAATAGCAGACTCGAATACAACCTTGACCCCCGTTTCCCTGGTAAGATAGTTTCCGACAGCCCCAGCAAGCGTCTCCTGCGCAAGTACTGTATTGCATAGGAATATCGTCAGTGAAACAAACGTCGTAGTACCCAGCACAACCCAAAGTACGTGGCCGAGGAATAGCCACGAAAAGAACGCCCCGATATCATCCAGATTGTAGGGCCTCATCTGTCGTATAGCCAGCCATTTGGTGCGTATTCTCAGCCGCTGAAAGAAGCCAGTAGCAGCGGCGAGCATCTCATCCTTCGAAAGCAGATGTCGATTGACTGTATTATCCGGTGCATTGTTGTTAGTGTTCTTCTCCGCCTCCTCTGCCAGCCGGCCATTTCTGATTCTTCGGTTCCTTCTGCCGGAATCCCGGTCTCCGGACCCGGCCTTTCCATTGTTCACCTTCCTTTTCGGCGCCCAGGGACTATTTCCCTCTACAGGAACCTTCGGCTTGGAGGCTTTCTGACCGTAGTGTAGACTCCGCGCCCAGCTTGAGCCCGCAATTCGTGTTATTTTCCGCCGGTCGAGGGCCCCACCGGAAAATATTCTGTCCGCCGTGCTAACGGCACATGTTGTTTCTGAAGCCGCTGTTGGGGAGATGTTTGTCCATACGCAGAACCCGGCAAAGCCCCGGGATACCACATATTTTGACCGGGGATACCATCGAGCCGATGTTGTGGATGATGAAGTGAAAAAGCGGGGTTGATGGTTCGATATCGGAAATCTCTTCTGGAAGAGGCCGGTTGTGAATGTTGAGGAACCCGACGGCAATCTAGGATTGCTGATTAAGGGTATAAGGGTATCCCAGAAGGCGGCACACAATCGGTGGCCGGATGCTAAAGTCATATTGGCATCACCTACTCGAGCACAGCCGCGAATTAAAAATCACAAAAACAGAAAGAGCGGACTGTCTGAGGAGATGGGATTCGATCTGCGGGTGGGTGGGTGACGATATAGATATGGAGCACAATTTTTTGACGTTACACCCAATTGGGAGATCCCTTGCTAAGCCTAAGTTAAAATTTATCATATCATGATCAACGATCAATAGACAATAATTCTCCGGACAACAACAGAAGATGCGATCTGAATCCTCACTCGGAACCACCCATCACGTCATTTCATATTATACCGTATCATACAAAAATATGAAGTCAATGTCCGCTAGTGAGTAATCGGAACGAACAGAGTACGCACTTCCCCCTGGCCTCATGTGCCCGTAGATCGGAACCTCACTGCTGTGTTGCGGGTATGGTTCGTGCCATTCAAAACATGCACGAGGCTGAAATAATATGTTACATGTGGCTGTGCCTCTTTTGATGCCAAGCCTTGAATTTTCCATGGAATTATGGTCTAGGGTTTAAGTAATAATATATTTTAAATAGATTTAAGGATGAATAATATGAGGTTATAATAAAAATAACAAGAGAAGAGAAATGTTAAAATATTAACAAATATGTGCAATACTCTTTTAAAATATGATATTATAGAAGCAGATGAGAAACTTTGAAGTAATTTACCAGTAACAATTCTCCCATATATAATATTACTATGATTTTATTACATATACCAGAGAAATAATGGTTGTTATCATTAGGGTTAATAGTATTCCTCATACGTTACAGGTTATATTTACTCTTTTTAGTACATAAAATGACCTTTTTAAGCCAAAACCCTATTTCCTGAATAATAAATCTCTGATTACTAAGAAATTAAACTGTGGCTGATGTAACATTTTTCTCCCTTTCTCACCAAAAGTACAACTTTTCAAATTTGCAAGGCTCTCCAACCAAGGACAAAGAAAATAAAAGAAAACCTCACAGTTATTCTCCATCATTCTCTCTTGAATCCTGAGCTTTTTTATTTCACATAATGACACTAGTTGTAGACCCTTGTCAATTTAAAAGTTGTCGAATTTCTCGTGCAGGTTTTGAATGGCACGCACTATACTCTGTCCTACCGCCCATGGTGATGTTTAACACTCGGATAACCCACTTTCCGAGCGTGCTCTAGGGTTACATGACCAGTTGGGGCCGTCATCGCGGGAACACTTTATTAGGCGGAAACAGCCTCTTCGTTATGTACCGGTATTATACTTGATCGGCTTATATACCTCACCTAATCGATTGTTTTGCTCCGATGCATGATAACCTCTTTCATTGCTCATAATAATGTAAAAGTACTCGACTGTTGGGTCCCTGTTATCCTCGCCGACCATCGACATGAACACGATAATAAAGCGCTCATTCCCATGCCAACTTTTGGAAAATGAGGATAGGCTGTGGAATAATTTTGCTGACCAAACTCGACAAACATCTCCCGAAGCCCGCAGGAGGCAAGCCACAGAATATGCCCAAAGGCCAACCCGGTTTCCATCGCATGATCCCTCAAAATGAACCCAGATATACACCTAGAATAATTGCTGGGGTCCACGTGCGGTATCGACAGAAATTATACGTAGAATCTGCGCTGCTGGGCTGGTTCATAGCGTACTGGGCCAGGGCTCTCGCAGAATTAGTTTCGTTAGAGGGTGGAGAAACAGCTCCTGGAAGCTCAGGAGTGAGCCCACTGGAAATTTCAGAGCTACCCCTCAGTGGAAGGAGACCAGCGGTGCTAGAGCGCAAATACCATCAGTTCTGGACGCACGACGACCACTCCCGCCAAAGCCAGGCTAGGATACAAGACAAGCTTGGGGCTTACATCTCCATAAGACAACCTCGAACACAGACCAAGAAGCTCAGATTGGCCCCACCAACGAGGGCATCCCCTCTGAGGCAAAGCACCGCGCATTTGATCACAAGATGAAACTCCCCCGTGCGGGAATCCTGTCGACAGAAACTAGGATTAGATACTGATTGAGTTGGAGGGGAGTGAATTTGCAAACCAGAAACAGGAGGCAATTGGGTAAGCACTCCTCTTCACCCTCACCTAAACACAAAGCCCTGCATATATGTTCTTCCATCTCTGAAGATCCCAGACTAGATATCGGGTGGTCGTCGTCATATATGGACTCCAGTGGGATAGGGAACGGAGGGGTGGCGTCACGCTTGGAGTGTAGAGCGGAGCGATAGACAATCCTCACAGAACATCCCCTCCCGCGCTCAGTTCTATTAATGAAACTCGACTGTGGGTGCATAGGGGATTTTTCCCAAAAATCCTGCTAAACCAAAAATCGTAGCCCCATCAGAATATCCCTTGGGAAATCAGGAAACGGGGCCGACAATACGCACGAAGCACTGCCTATAAACCCTATCATACTCTTCAGGATCTTCGCAGACAACTGTAGGAGAGTAAAATCCGGGCATCCTAAATAATGCCGATCTTTTTGATTTGGGGGAATAGGTTCTCAGAAATTCACCGAAGTATTGATGAAGACACTTGGTGCGACATTCAGCAAAGGCCACAAGATCGGCGCCACCAGAATTCTCCACCAAACAGTTTGCCTGGAAAGTGTTAGAATACGGCAACGGGGAGGGGGCGGCTAAGAGGACACTGGGGGTCGGGGGGATAGTTTACAATGCATTGCTCGGCCACCGTAGCGGACTGGGGTGAGTAGCTCTGTTCCGAAAAGTTGTGCGAGAGGAGCGTCAGTATGCGTGTGGGCAATGGTGGAAAACTTGAACACAAGTGCTCACCGGATGATTGAGACATGAAGACTCGCAATTGGGATCACCAATATGATAGGTCCAGCACACTTCCGCGCACATTCTATTTTCAGTAGCACTTACGAGGGACACCGAGAGAAGTAACGCGAGGTATAGAAAACTCTCCATCGGAACGGGAAGAGGGGATTATCTAGGGTAGAGAACAAGATTTCCACTAGAGGGAAGCCCTGGTGGCAGGAAAGGTAGAGGGTAAAGGGGTTGGATAGGTGGTACTCTAGTACTCGGCACTTTATAAGAGGATGGCTGAATGACTGAACTGGACAAGGTGATTGTATGATGAGGGGTTGGTGATGGAACAGTAGGTGGTGGGAGCAGAGGGAACGAGCGACGTTCTCAGGGGTGATTAGAGGGTATTTATCCCAACAAAACCGAGCAGACTAAACAAATGACTAGAATCGCATCGTGTACCAAGACCACGTAACCACTCGAACAGTTGGTGGGAAGCGCAACAAGATGTGAGCGAAAGGTAATCATTAGTAGACATAGCGCGTAGTCCCACGTATTTGGCGCCTGTGGGTTAGTATCGGAAAACCACCTCTACGAGTGGCTTCGATACGTATCATATGATGCCTCATCTACCGTTGTTCATAACGTGCCTAAAGGTGCGGCTTCGCACGTTCAAACGTCACTTTGTTCGTAATACTTCCAATATCTTCAATGCCCACTTCAACCATATCCCCATCGTTGAGCCAGGATTGTGGCCTCCTCCCCATCCCAACACCCTGCGGACTAATGGAGAAGGGCAGTTCATCAGCAAAAATGATAGTCATGACTTATCACTCTAATTGGCAGAAGACTTACGTTCCAGTAAACACAAGGTCTCCCGGCAAAAGCGTTGTTCCTTGCGAGAGGAAGGATAGTGTCCTAGCGACGGAGAATATCATATCCGCAGTTGAAGAGTCCTGAACGGTTTGCCCGTTTACCTGCGCAGATGCATTAATACGCTCTGAGGAGAGGCGAAAGTGCATCTACTGGAATTTCGAGGATAGGTACCTTAGTAAAGATGCGTAGTTTCTGAGGGTCTGGTATAAGAGAGGGAGAAATGATGGCCGGTCCAATCGGTGCCCATCCATCAAATCCTTTGCCTAAAGACCTAATTTCGATTGGCGTGGTTTTGTATAATGCATACGGGCAAAACCCTACCATTGGCCACCGCCTTTCTTGAGTTGCCAGTCTCTGTGGCTCATGTCATTTCCAGCGCAATATCCGAGGACGCAGTCCAGAGCGCTACCCTCAGAAACATCTCTGGCCTCTTTGCCGATTACAACCACGAGTTCGCATTCGTAATCAAGTCCGGGTTCGTCCTGAGCTACCTGCGGAATTGGAATTGGGTCTGCGCTGTCGGCGTCAGGAGGACATGAGCGGCCCATGACGGCTGCTAAAGCTGGGGAAGCGGATTACCTGAAGGTCCAGAAAGCGAGGTAATCGGCTTATACTGGTGGACAATCAGTACGATCCCACAATTAATGGAATAACCTCAAACTTACAAACAGCACAGGATACTTTGGAATATCCATGTTTGTCTGTCAACAAGGTATTAGCTATGACCGGATTTCACGATCAGAGCCACATCAAGCCATGATACCTCCTTTGCATGCTGGGAGTAATTAAGTCCCAGACACCTGATCGTCTTTGTATCTTTACAGGCAAACGGGGCCAAAAGCTTGTTAACATTCTGTGGCAGGGTCAGCAGAACTTCCTGCCGGGATATGGAGGTAAACTTTATCGCACCAGGATTTGGTCGGTCACTCTGTATCCCGGGGACAAGATATCCCCCTCAATAACACGTGCCCTAGCAACCTTCGAGACGTCACTAATCCCGGCAGGGAGAATTGCATCCCCGTAATAGGTTTCCCCATCGGCAGCAATGAAGCGGATAAGGCGCTGTCAACATATCCAAGTTAGCTGCAGAGATCCTCTCACCATACTATCTCTCGAAATCCAAGGCTGGTATCATTAAAATCTTAATTTACCGAGAATCTTGACATGACCAGAAGTATCTATCCGTGTTTGTGATTCTGAATCTCTTCAAATTGGGGAATTACTCAAGAATCCAATATGCTCGAGTAGAGAGATGAGGTTGATCAAGGCGCTAGCGCTGGGCCGGTGGGCTCTCCGCCGAGGCGAGAAGCGGACCAATGGCCCGCAACCCCGAACCCTGACTTAACATTGTCCACTGGGAAGCCGGACCGTAGGCCCACAAAACGCATGCCAAGGTTTCTGCAACCAGCCGGGGAAGTTCAACATCAAAAAAATGAGACGATCTGGAATTCAGCGAGATGTGCTCGCTCTCTACAGGCTTTGCCTGCGGGAGGTAGGGAAGAAGCCGAAGGTATTAACAATCCGTCCTGCCTTCTTTTGTTCTTCATTCATACCGACGTGTTTTCCCGCTACTGACTCCGCCGTCGCGAGAGCAGGAAGTTCGAGACAACTTTCGGAACTATGCGAGGTTCGACGCAATCACCACCTTTAGCAATTCCACCGTAACAGTATATGCGGAATTCCTAATCGAGGGAGGGGCACAGAGAAAACTTCCGAGCACATCTCGACATCGACCGGCGGGACTTTGCAACAATCGAGCACCTCCTGCGGGTGGGGCAGAGAAAACTAGAGGTGTATTCGCAGCCAGGGATAAAGGACATCTCCCGATAATCAGACATCACGCACGCCCATTCGATCAATCAACCGGTCCCTCACCCCACGATATGATCGGCCATCGGGATTTTGTATTTTTTTCCTTCCAGTTTCTCCCCAACCTATCCCCTGTCCACGGCCCACCTTTTCACATAACCTCAGAACTCTGAGACAAATGATCACAGCTGGCACATCGCTCTTTCTCCCCGTTCCGACCCGGCTCTTGTTCCACGTCGGGGGAGCACCTAGGCATCGCGGGGGTATCGGAAGAGCAGATCGTACCAGTAGCGTTCCATGCTGGAGACCCTTGTCACATTTAGGTTACTTCAACAGTGAACACGCACCACTCTAAGTCCGGCAGCTGGATGGATAATGGGGTGGCTGGCTGTATCAGTATCCACACTACCCTGTTGAATATCTTGAGATGCAGGGAATGATAAGCTTACTTTGTAATATGCATACGGTAGTGTCCTCGTCCAATCCAGAAGTAAGAGTGAACTGAGCCGGGGGGTAAGGATACGATGGGGTGGGGATTGTGGGACTTTTGCGAGCTATGAATGGGAGAAGTGGCGTCTGTCTCTCTATAGTATTGGGTTGGATATACAGTATATACAATATCATATCTATATCCGAACCTGACTTTCTCCAGCCTAGCGCTCCAACCCTGAACACTCGTACTGCGCTGCCCAGCGCGGAGAGCAGTGTACGAGTACCGGTGCAGTACCTTAGTGAAGGATGAGCCCGCTGGGACTTTGCGATTCCCTTTCTCGCCCACGCGAGGGGAAAACACCGCAAACTCAGCCCTCAGTTGAGACAAAACAAAAGGGATATGTTATAGTGTCTTTTAATACGGCGGTAGGAGAGGTAGTTACGGCACTGTATGAGTGCTGTACCGGACTACCGTATGATACCAGTTGCAGCGTCCAATGATGCCGGGCTCCAGGGGCCAGCCCCCTGTATGATACTCAAGTACTAGTATGTACTACGATAGTATCGTACTATTCTTTTTTCCGCTTAGTAGAGTGCCGGTGTGCCGGGGGGTGCCACAGCGCCTGGCATAAATTTGCATGTGTATTATCGTATTCTCATATACCGGTAGATTGGCACTTTTTGCAAAATACCCCTCGGACTGTCCTCAACTAATACCGGTACTCACTTTATCAAAAGGGCCCGGGTTGATGGAATTAAGGAGGATCCAATTCTAAGCCCCAAAACTTTTGTCGCTGCCGGGGCCTGCTTGTTCTTGGATATGGTCGTGGTGAGGGCCGATTTCGCAGGCCGAGCACCGTATATAGCACGTTCTGCTTAGAGCTCTTAGGGGGGCAGGGCAGTTCAAAGAAAAGCAACACATGTACCGTATGATGCCGGTAATCCAATACCGGTAACCACGATACCGCCGGGATATCTCAGTCAGAGATGGTCATGCACATCTGCAAGCCTCTCTCCTACCACGAGTACTGTACTCGAGTACAGCTCTCTCACCCCCTAACCAGCTATCCTCCATCTGAGCCTAGGGAATTTGAGAGCAATACTTCCTTTCCTTTCTTTTTTTTCCCACCGAAAAACAAAACATGTATCACGGATACTCACTCTCGTGTAGAATTGCTTCTTGTGTGCCATGCAGCAGTGGCTACTCGTACGCTAGGTACAGACTATCGTACTACCGGTACGAGTACTCGAGTACACTTTAGATTTCTATTCTAACTCGGGTCAATTCATCTCGACCATGCTGGTATCCCGGTGTTGGGCCCGACCTCGAGCCACGTCACTCGAATCAGTCCCCCCTTTCTTTATTTCCTATGGGACCCTTCTGTATTCGAGTATCTTCTATTATGTACTACAAGGCTGCTTTGCGGATTTCCCAGCCTCCTGATTGGTCCAGAGTTGAGCTTCCTGGCCCACACTTAATTTTGTATGATGATATTTCATATAGGGTGTAGGTACATTTGAATTCAAACTGAAAATACTAATTACTTATGATAAAACAATTATTGAAGCATTATCAGGTATGGCTAATGTAATATTTTTTCAACTATAACTAAAAATAACTTATTTCAAAGCTAAATAGACCTTTTAAAAAATTACTCAGGTTTAAAAAAACTACTACACTCATTGCAGCTATCAGCTTTTTTGTATGATATTGTCACAAACTGTGACTAAGCAAGGCAGATTTTACATAGCCCGGAATTCCGAGCTATAGGTATGTTGGAATTTCATATGACGCATACTAGTGCACCATAGGTTATTATGTTTACCTGTTCATGACTCACAGTTGTGAGTCACATGATGTTATGATTTTTGCACATGACTATGAGTCATGGGTTTCACTCAGGTGACGTGAGTTGCGCACCTGACTTGGTTATTATATGTTGATTGGTTTTGGGTATGTTGCACAGCGACTCATAGGAGTAGGCGGATGGATTTTGCGTGACTCATAGTTATGAGTCACAGGGTTTGCATGACACGAGGTATGAGTCACGTCAGGTGAAGAACTACTATATAAGGGATCGCTAGGACCCCGAATATTAGTTCTTTACACGTTCTTCTTGTTTATTTCCTATCTTTAAGTTATTACAATAAAACCTACCGTTATGCTCCTTAAGATTTATCTTAAGAAACCTGAGGATTGTCTTTCCTCCCAAGTGAGAAAACTATTTCTCCTCCCACGTCGAATGATTAAGTCCTAAGTAAGGACTTGAGAAGATCAGAGGAATAGGCGCGATAAGATAGAAGTTGAAAGGATTTGACTATCCACATCGCGTAGGCATCAGCCTAAGAACTATTATCTTGATAGCGCATTAAGAATTATTACCTGTCGTATCCCAGTACCTGGTAGGATTCTTAATAGATATAGTATTTGTTTTTAAAAGTTTTTGTAGTCTTGGATAAAGCCCCATATCTGTATCAAAAGTACCTAAAATTATGGTATATATTTTGAACTTCAAGAACCATAAATTATAGTATATTTGTATCTTTCTATGTGTATCAAGCTATGAATTACTCCTCTTCCAGTTAGTCAGGTAGTTTTTAACTTATTCCTTCTTTCTTATAAAACCTCTTTGAGCTTCTTTCCTCTATATCATCATTAACCTCTTTCCACTTCCCTTTTTCTACTTACCACTTCCCTCTTATTACCTTTTTATCCCACTTTTTTTACCTCTTTTGTCTCCTCTTCTTTCTTTCTCAAGTCATTTGTCTGATCTCTTTAACCCTATTTCTTTTACTGGATTCTAATGTTTTACTCCTTCTTTATTTATGTAAGAGAGCTATCTTCTTCTCAATATCTTCAGTTAATTTATTCGTATCAAGCTAACTTTTAGCAGCTATTATCAAAAAACTACAATATTTATCAAAGAATATGATGGCAACTATTAAGTGTTCCAGTTGCAGAAGAGAAAAGAAAAATGTAGAATTTGATCAAAATCAACAAGGTCATTTCAAAAAGATATGCAGATTATATTTAGTAGGTATCCTAGAATCTTGGTATAAGTTATGGAATGCACATTAGAATTTAAAGTACTAATAAGAGAAAAGCAATAAAGAGTAGAGAATTGACAACAGAGATGTCAATTACAAAATACTTGCAATTTACTCCTAGCTACTATTGTAACCGGAGCTGGTACTCGGTTAAAGTTTGTTTTATGTTTTGTTTTAAGTATCGGTTGATACTTAGTTTGTTTTATCTTTTGTTTTGAGTATCGGTTGATACTTAGTTTGTTTTATGTTTTGTTTTAAGTATCGGTTGATACTTAGTTTGTTTTATGTTTTGTTTTAAGTATCGGTTGATACTTGGTTATTTTTATGTTTTGATTGAGTAAGAACATGAGTGAGAATTCATGATCGTACCCAAACACATGTACTTAAAAAGACTACCGTTTTTTACTCTGGAAACGGTAGACTTCGACAGTTAGTATTCTAATATACTCGGTTGAACGGTTATCTCTATTTTCCTATTACACCACCGAAGCCTCCCTTAGCGAGCCCAGACTGTTACTCTCCGGCAGAAAAACACTCGGCTCCTATTGTACACAGCAGCGTGACTAGCGCCCCGGCGTGAACACGTTACATTTTTTTAACCTCAGCGAGTGGTTAGAACACCACAACGAATCTGGGCCTGATCAACCTACGAAGATTCAGCTTATCGAACGGTACCGGCAGAAGTGGCAGACCTTGGGGTCGGCTCCTGCATTACAAATAAGTGTGACATAGATCCACTTACAACTCGAAGTGGGAAACAAGTCCCACGAGAAGGCCTAACCCAAAGAAAAGAGAAGAAGAGTGCCACACCTGGTGAATTCCCAGAATCACCTGCGAGGGAACGCAAACCGCAACCCCCACCACCACCATCCCCGCCCCCTCCCCCATCAAGCAACGCATCAGATAGCGAACACAGCATGTCTAGTAGCGGAACACCCGGCCCTGGGTTACCACCACCCGACCCACCAGCAAATGAAAAACTAAAAATGAAGATCCCGCAACCTAAGTCGTTCTCAGGAAAAGGAGAAGACCTAAGACGCGAAGCCTTCGATAGATGGCTTACCAGCGTATGACAGTACCTCACTATACATGGAATAGCCATGACCGATTATGGATTAGGAATTTACTTAGGAGCATTTTGCACGGATGAGGCTATGGAAGCCTACCAACAATGCATAAAGGAGTACCAAGAACCAGACAGGGTCAGAGCAAAAACGGTATCCAGCTACCTACAAGATCGGTTCCAGTCATCACGGAACCAGGACGAACTATTTAAATAATTCAATACAATATCTCAAGTGGCCAACCACAATACGGAGAAAATTACCAAAACGGCTACCACACTGCTCATGTACCACTCCCGACTCCCAACAGGAACGATATCAACCTTCTCCCGAAAAAAAAGAACGATTCTACGAAGCCATGCACTCAAAACTGCGTCAGGTAGTGGAACCACAGGAGTTACCAAATGATGACATAAACGCAATAATCGAGAGGGCAGAACGGCACGACGCTATCCTGTGGGAAACAGGAGCTTA